CCATTATTTAAATGAATACTTTTCACCACAGTCTATTATTGTGATATAATTTATTTCAGATAAACACGATCTGAAAAGCAGTGTTGTTGCCATTAAGAATTAAACTGAAATTGTCTTTTCAATTCCTACATTTCAATTAAACAAGATGTAAAACTGCAGCCTGAATTCACTTATAGAATTATAATGAATTGAAATTCAAAGAAATGTAACAAATTTTTAACTAACTAAAATGACAGCTTGACAAAGTCTAGTTTGAAAACTGAGGAACAGCTGATAGAATGATGTAACATTACATACAGTAGAACGACAGATGGATAGATTGAAGTGATAGTTCATCCAAAAATGAAAATTCTGTCATTAATTACTAACCCTTATGTCATTCCAATTCCCCTTAAGACCTTCATTCATTTTCATTCATGATGATTAAATAGTCCATGTGACATCAGTGGTTCAACCGGAATTTTATGAAGCTACGAGAATACTTTTTGTGCGCAAAGAAAACAAAAATAACAACTTTATTCAACAATTTCTTCTCTACTGTGTCAGTATTTTAATGATGTCCTTACTAGGTTTATGGGCCTTGAACGTGTCAGTTGCGTTGCGGTCTATGCAGGGTCAGAAAGCTCTCGGATTCCATCAAAAATATCTTAATTTGTGTTCCAAAGATGAACAAAGGTCTTACGGGTTTGGAACGACATGAGGGTGAGTAATTAATGACATAATTTTCATTTTTGGGTGAACTAACACTAAGTAAATCCAACTTTCAAATTCAACTTCCTGTGTGTTGTGGCCAATTCAGCTTAAATTCACACTCCAAATGGAGCCAACTGGCTTGCCACTTTACATGTCATTTAGATGTTCTCTTCGCATCTAAATGGGAAGCCTAACTGTGTGGACCAGACCTTTGCAAAACCAAGCAAGAGCTTGAGTTTCACAGTAAGAACTAAGCTAAGAACCACGCAGGTGGTGACAGCTCTTTTCAAGTCTTAAAACATGAACAAGTGGCTTAATGCCTTTAAGCGAATATCTGAGAAGGGCCTCTTCATCCAGATCAACCCCTCCATCATCATCCACCTCTCAAGCGGCCGCTCCAAAATGTCCAGCACTCCCAAACAACTGCAGAAAGAAAGCTAAACATTTGTTCAAAGGGAGACGACTGATTTCTGCCTTGCGGTCGCACTTTACCGAGCGGAGTACGTGAGCTGGTGGAAGTAAGAGCGAACGAAAGAAGGAAACCACATCAAATGGTGGAACACTGGGATATCACCACATCTCATATCCAGCGGTACAGGGGCATTTAAACTGTGCTAAATGGAGAGGAAACATGAGGATGGGATGGTGTGCTGGAGATCTCATTACCGCCTCAACCCATCGCTCTAAATCCTCAGCTCATTCCACAAAACAAGCCCGAATGTAAGTACCACACTGCGTACAGCACAGTTATGTTCATAAACCTTGGCGCCAACACAGCTTGAATCCACCTCTATGCATTATCAAAGAACCCCATTGACAGTCCATTTGGATTTTAATTGAGCGATGACCTCATAATGGTCTTTTCTCACTGCTGGTTACATTAAGTGAGTTTTATCTGAATAATGACCTCATTGTGGTATTCATTTGCCTTGACAATAGATTTTAACAACTAATGAGCTATTTGCTGTCTACGCTGTAAATTAAAGCCCTTAGAGGTTACATTTAAAAAAAGTGTATCCAAATAATGATGAATTCCCTAATTTGCATTTGTGTATTTTCAAATACAGTGCGTGAAGATACGTCATTCCAGATTTGTCAGTACAACCAAAAACCACTGTTCTTGTGCACTGTTGTTCTAACCAAATCTCATTTGCACTTTCGCATATTCAAATTTCCTTGGTTTTTCCGTTTCAAATTTTGCACATTCAAATGGCATATTCTTGCATATAATAAGATTTTGAATATAGATAATTTTATATTTTCCCATCAATATTTGAGCCTGACAGCCCCTGTCCACTATATGCTTTCATGAAAAAAAGAGCAGAATGAACATTCTACTAAACATCTGCTTTTGTGTTTCACAAAAAAAAAAAGACATGCAAGTTTGAAACAACATGAAGGGGAGTAAATGATGACAATTGGCATTTTGGAGAGAGCTATCCCCTTAAATTCAACTTGGAAAAAAGGCAATACAACTAAGACTTCAGAACATTTTGAAAATGCCCTTTGCAAACTGTAGGGAAACAGAGTTTAGAACGAGTGGTAATTCTGCCTTTTTTTAGATGCCGAGGATGGAGAACCAGCCCAAAGGGTCGATGTCTCCACACTGCTGACTTTAAACTGTGCGGTCGGAAGTTCAGCCTGAGGAAATAAATAAATAAAAAGTCTGTGACCTCTGTGTCTGCTATTTTGTGTTTTTCCTTCGAAATTTTAATGAGTGGTCCAGTTGGTTGTCTGCTGCCAGCCAGCGGGGCCCCTTCAACAGCGTGAGTCTACTTTCTCCGGCCCCGACCGCATTACGTTCAACCCAAAACAGATCGGAGACCACCCTCTCCCTTCCATCCCTATCAGAGCCTTATTTTCACTCAAATACGAGATTTTTTTGTAAATGTGTGGTTAGTGAGAGGCCGGTGGAGATACACAGTGCTCCCTGTCTCAGTTGAGCTGACCTTCTGCTATCAACAGCCAAATCTGGATGCAATGGGGCCCTGCTCTCCTGCTCTCTTTCATATTAAGTGGCAAAATGATCTTTATGGGAATCAGTATGCATCATTAACTCAAACACATTACACCTAGATAAAGACTCCCATCATCTCTCAGCTTTCTCTTTATCTTCTTTTAATGCTAGAATCCATCATAACTGAAGCATGCAGTTATGATGGCAGACCCGTGCCTCTGAGAATATGGCTGACAATCAAATCACCACACCAATCTGGAAAGCACAGAGAGTCCTTGAAACTCCAATTCTGACTCATTTTTCTGCAACCACGACCATTATTTTGAACTTGATATTCAATCTAAAACAATAGTCCTGTGAGGTCAATATACAGTAGAAAATGTTAAAAAGAGGCAGAAAAATAATATCACAGATTGAGATGGAAAAATAACTTAATCTAGAAAATAACCTTTCTAGAGCCACTTTTTGTATATTCAATGTTGCATCTTTCTGAATTACCTTCAATTGGGGGATATATGCAATTCATTACATGTCACTCAATTAATTTTAAATATTTTTGGTAACACTTTACAAAAAGTTTCTTTAAATATCAATATGCATTAAATATCATGACGTAACAAAGAACAATACTTTTATAACATTTATTAACCTTAATGGCAATAGCTATATAAACTAATACATTTTATTTATTTCTAAATAAAATATATATATATATATATTTCACTTCATGTTTTCATTTTAATTTCAACAACTTAAGTTTGTAACATTTATGTAATTAAGAAAGAACATGAATTAATAATCAAAACTGCATTATTAACTGAATAAAAAAAAATAGTTCATTGTTGTCAATGCATGATCTAATGTTAAATTTATTGTAAAGTGCTACCAAAATTTCAATAGATAATTGAAGCCCTAACCCCAAATAGAGTTGAGTTGAGACAACTTTCTTTTAAATGATACTGTATATTTCTTCAAAAACTACATATAAGAAAGATAGTCTACCTTTATAAGGTATAAGACAAGGTCTTTTCTCCAGGCCCCAAACCCATCTCAGTGGAGCCACATTAATTTGTCAGCAAGAGGGCCTCCTTTCTGAAACTCAGGGATCCTTAATTAAATCCTGATTCAAATATGGAATGGAGACCTTCAACCTCCTATGTTCCTCTAGTACTCCTCTTATCTCTATCTAGTCAGGAAGTGCTCAAAACACAGGCACTGATAAGAAAAAGACTGTGAGAGAGAGTGAGAAAAGACAAGAGAGAGTTCAGAGAATACTGTGGGAGAAAACAGAGAAAGAGCAAGGGGTTCTTGGATTCTGCTGAAGTGATCTTTTGGAGAAATGAGTCTGCAGAAGCTCAGCAGAGGATGAGGAAAAGCCTGAAATAAAGAAGCACTCAAAAAACCATTCACAGCCTCCCAAGAGCACACAGTCTCTCGAGGCCTCTGGCCTACCTATTGCATTAGGAAAAAATCATGTCTGCATGCATGGACCATGGACCAGGGGTTTTCAAACTGGGATCAGAGGACCCCTAGGAGACCACAGAAAAGTTAAGGTCTAAAAATGTAAAAAAAAAAATTACAAAAAATGTGAAAACCATTAGAAAATAATTTGAAATAAAATGATCATTATCTGAAATAAAATAACAGCTTTATTTTAGCTAGTTGCCAAGGCAACATTTCTTATATTAATTTAGTTTAACTTGAACTAAAATAACTAAAACTGAACTACAACATTTTTGTAAAAAAAAAAAAAAGTAAAAAAACTATATAAACATAAAAAATAGATCACATCATAATGACTAAAACCTTAACAAAACTTAAAATGAAAGAAAATATAAAATTAACTCAAAATATTAATGAAAACTATAATATAATGGTATGCAGAATGTAAACTGCACATTACTACATTTTCACGTTATTTAAATAAAATAAAATAAAATAAAATAAACATAGTTGGGGGTCCACTGAAAACCCCTGACCTACGTCACGAAAATCCTTCTAACACTGATTTTGTGGAACTTAAATGAGTAGATTTTAAACAGGATAATTTTTCTACAGTACTTTTAAGATTAAAATATGTGAATGCCCTCTGTTATGATTGGCTAACCCCCTCTGCAAGTAAAATGAGGAACAACATCCATGCCAAGTTATAATAGCCTGCGCTTGTAATGATGGAATACATCTACATACTCCTTTCAAAAGAGCAAGAAAATCCTGTTTATCATAATATATCCCTTTAAAACGACCATCAATAAAATGTTCTTCCTTAAGACGGCAGTGAGCCATACAGCGAGCGATTGTTACTGTATATCAGGCCAAGAGGTGTGAAGGACAAGCGTAAAGGTCTTACTTCATTTCCAGCACCTCCTCCAGGTGCTTTCTGCGCTCTGCCCTCAGTGTGGTCAGGTGGGCCTCCTTCTCGGCCAGAGACTGCTGGGTAGACGACAGCTTGGCTTTCATGGACTCCAACTCTTGCTTCACCTTTTCCATGGTGGGCAACAGCTCCTCCATCTGTGCATGCAAACACACACAAATAAACATGTTTGTGCTGATGAACAACAAACAAGCATAAGGACAAAAACATAATCATGTCGGATAAGACAGAATGCAAACAAATATGTTGAGCGAACACACAGCAGGCCAAGAGCGAAGCTCACAGGGATACAAATGGATTTGTGCACAGGAAAATGGATGGACAAAATGTGAGTGTCCAAAAAGAGATGAGGAAAAGAGATTGATATACAAGTCAGCAGGTGAGACAGAATAAGAGAACGGGTGAAAACAAGACCAGTGTGTGAGTGCGTAAGAGTGCATTACACCAGATATATTAACTACATAGCTTCGTGATGAGGTTTGTCATACATCACATCCCCAGGGTTATTTCACTCCGTTTTGTTTTTGAAAAGGTGGATGTTCTCTGTTCCTGACTGTGATTTTTCTTTCCTCCTCTCCCTCCGTTTCCACACAATGTTTATAACTCGGAGTAACAGGAGCGAGTGAATGAGGAGGATAAATCAAATGGCGTGGCAGGTTTATGTATTCCATGGAAGGCAAGGTTTAGCGACTTGGCTCAAAGCTTTTCTCACAGCCTCCTCGACCGCTTGCGGTTCACCCTGGGTCTCTCTGAAATCTCTGTGCTCGCAGGAAACTGCGTAGGCCTCGGGCGGCGATCTGTACAGTCTCCTTCGTCTGTTCTCTGTGTTTATCCATCCTTCCCTGCTCTGCGTTTCATCAGCTTTTGTTCCATACAGACACTTCTACATAGATTCAAATCCAAAAACTGTTCACTAAAAATTCCTTTCAAGCATCACAAAAGATGCAAAAAGAAGCGGTTCATATGGCTTGTGTGCTATAATCCAAGTCTTATGAAGACATACAATAGATTTGTGCTGATAATCTTTCCCTCCAGCAGCCTGTGAAACGTTTTGACCGAATAATCGAGTTAGTGAGTTTAACTCGAGAACCAGATTAGTCCGATTAGTCTTGAAAAAACTCATTCAGATCAGTTTTGTGAACAGTAGAATAACTGATTCGATGAAAAGAAATTGGTCGGCTAAGTCAGTGAGTTTAACTCCAGAACCACATCAGTCTGATTCATGACTGAGTCATGCAGACCAGTTTTGGTGAACAGGATCAAATGCTTCACTGAAAAGAACTTAAAAGAGTGATTCTTTTACAAATTGGGCATCAATACTTCTATCATGCTTGCGGTTCACCCCGGGTCTTTCTGAAATCTCTAGTCCGATTAGTCATGAACAAATCATTCGGACTGGTTTTGTGAACAGGATTAACTGATTAACTGAAAAGATCATTTAGAAAAGTTAAGTCAGTGAGTTAAACACGAAAACCAAATCAGTGTGATTCATTCATGATTCATCATTCACAAATCCTCCATCACTACTTCTTTCATGAACACGCCACAGAGTGCAATAGAAGAGATTTTCTGTGAATAATTAATTTAATTCTAGTCATATATGTTAGTCATAAAAACTAGGAATATAGCACTCAGACTACAGTTAAGATACTGTTATGGTGGTTTTGCATTTAACACTAAAAATAAAGTAAGTCATGCAGGTTTGGAATGACGAGAGGCTGAGTAAATAATGCTTTTTTTTTTTAATGGTTAAGCTATTCCTTTAATACATTAATTCTTAAGATATTTATAGATGGAGTTTCATTGCACTGCCACCCAACACTGTCCAAAGTCATGATTATATGTTTTCTTATGTTCTGTGAGCACTGGAAATGTTTTCCAGCAGCATAGCTGGAGGCAATAAATAGAAGCACCACAAAAAAAGATAATACCCTTTTATCAACAGAATTGTATGTGTGTGAGCACATGCTCTCAGCAGTACTGCCCATCTGGTGGCCGGAGGTATTGTAGGATCTGGGAGAGCGTTCAATCCAGCTGTCATCATAAGTCATCTGCCTAATGTACTACACCCAAGCCAAGCCTAGTGAACAAGCTACCAAAACCCGCTCAGTCAAATTTACTGCCATCTCCTTTCCTGTCCCGCTCTCGTTTGTCATCTCAAACCATACCAAACTCACACAAGATGATCCTGAACAGCAACGAACGGGTCTTGACTAAAACTCGAGGATGATGGTGCCTCCCCTGGGCACGTGAAATCCACCGGCAAATTCCACCTGACAGGGTCAGATAAGCGAGGGCTCACCGGAATGGCTTACGTTAAGATGTAATGCATGTCAAATAAAAAAATAAGGAAGAGGAAATCATTATTCATGTAGAGACAGACCAGGCAAATGTTGCTTTTGACTCAAACACAGAGCACAGGTCACGTCTTAGAAGAATAAAACTGGCGAGTGTCTGAGTGGACATAAAAGACTGTAATATTTTTCACAGATACAAAAAAAAAAAAAATGCATGCATGCCTACTTTTTCCTCTTGGGAGATAAAGTGAGATAGAATCGAGACTGCATGCCTCAGGCCCCCCAATATGAGCAGAGGGAAATATTTAAACGCTGGCAGCATCGGTTTCACTGCCTGTGGCAACCCTGCGGTGTGGGTGGGGCAACAGAGCTGTCTGTTAAAACCCAACAGCCAATGAGAGGAGAGAAGAGGAAAGGAGAGGGGGGTGAATGGAACCGTGAGAACTTTGGTGCATTTTTACTCAACAGCACACAAAAATCTCAACGAAATCTCCCGCTGTTGTGCAACCACACGTACACACACACAGCGACGGCGGAGCGGTTAACTAATCAGTCCAGGATGTGTGAGAGCCGATACGGTGTCACCGTGCCTGGAGGGGAGATATGTGAACTCACTCCATCCTCAGCGACCAAACATCATCTGGAACGAATGGATTCGAATTAATTTACAGTGTGCTCAGTCAGTTTTACTGTAAAAGTATTTAGTAAGCGCCGCCAGGAGCCAAATTCTCAAAGCCGTTGAGTTAAGTCATTCATTAGGAGATAATTAACAGATTTTAAAGGTCTGACTAACGGCCTGGCAGACCAATGGAAAGTCAAATCTCTCTCACACACAAAAATGTGTACAGCCAACAAAAGAAATCATGGAAATTGTGGTATCTAGTACTCTATAGTGTAGAATTGAGAGCTGGTTCTGATTTTTTCAATTAAACCAAATTATTTTCTTTACGTCTGGTTCTATGACTTTCTTCTTCTACCAATGCTGATGCAACACCATACGACTATAGTGTTTTTAAAAAAGATATATACTGCTATTCTATCTGCAGTTCAAACAAATCTAATAAAATAAAAAGTAAAAAATAAAATAAAATAACTTTTAATGCCAAGGACCCCCTAATTATGATCACCTTCATAAAATAAAAGACAGAAATGTCTTTTCTATTATACAGACATTTACTGTATGCTGCGTGTGAATAAAATC